TATCTCATTATAATGAGATAGTAACTCAATATAATGAGATACTGTATGTGAAGTCCTCCACTGGGAGTTTTTTTTGCTGATGTTTTTCTGTCCAGATGCAGACCGGCTGCTTCTGAAGATTTTTATTCCTTTTTCTGCAGCTGTGGTAAAGGGCTTTCTGGTCCATATTCTGAAGGTTCTTCAGAATATAAAATCCGTAAATGGGCCATATAGTGACGCTTAAAAGTATAATGTTCTTGCCTCTAGTGATCTTAAAACGTCCTTTTATTGAACAACAGCAACCAAAAAGAGAACTTTTAACTTAATACTCTGAGCTCTGTGAGTTAAGAAGATGGGCCGCCAACCAATGGGCAGAAGATGAGCCCTTAAGACACACCTTCTCCTCATTTGCATAATGAGGCAGAAATGCAGACAGAAATGTAAATATGACAGGCAGAAAAAAATAGCGTTAAAGAAATAAATAGGGTAAAAAAAAAAAGGGAAGGATAAAACAGACAAAAATATATCATGCACATAAATAAATACTTAAAACAATAAGTAACAAATAAATAAAGTTGAAGATTATAATGGACAATAAATAAATAAGGTAATTTTTACAAAGGCGAATAAATAAAGAAGCTAATTAAAAAAGTTATATACATTTATGTCTCACTTTATAGTTTAATTTATTCCTACATTTATTAGTTTTTTGTATTTTCATGGGCAATTAAATGTATGCTCATTTATTTATTTCTGTATTCATTTTCAAATATGGCAGAGTTGGTCCTCCATACGGTAGTAGTAGTGTCGCATTGTAAAGTCTGTTGCAGAAAGCCCAAAAAAGCTGAATTATATCAGACCATGAAGGTTAAATATTTATTTTATTTGTTTAAAATATAAAAGGCCAGCTTCCATTTCAATGGTTTACACCTAATAAAAACATATTTTCTTAGATTATGTGTATTATGTGTATGTGACTGGGTGAGTGACTGTAATGCAGAGCACTAAACCAGTTACTGTACTGTATGTATATATATATATATATATA